GACAAAAATTAAAAAACATTTTTTTAAATATTGTCAATAATTTTATCAAATTAACAAAATCTTGAAAAACATATCTAGTGGTTAATCATACTAGACATTATTTTCATACAAATTATGCCAACAGCGGGAAAACCTTTTTTTGCCCAACGTAAATTTTTTTTTCTGATTCAACACTTGTTGGTTTTATCATTAACAAAGCTTCATAAATTTGTTCCGGATGCTTTCCTCTAGAATGTTGTTCATTGAACCATAGTAATTCTTTTTTTTAATCTTGCAGAAAGACTATAAGATGCATTTTTGGTAATGTTTAAAGTTTTTAAGAATTTTTGCTAATTTTTTATTTATAATATCATGCAGTTTGTCTTTTAATGATAAAATTGTTTCTTGTATTTGTTTTCTGGTGTCATAACAATACAAGAGTTACTTTTAATATTGTTGTTTTAATCCCTTTTTTGATCAACTACGATTAAATTTTTTTAATTTTGTTCAAATCACTGTACAAGTTGAGTAATAAGTTTTCAAAATAGAACTCTTTGTTGTGTTGTTAAATAAGCCTTAATTACTGGCATTTAACTTTTAATTTGGATTGTAAAGAAAATCCAGAACAGAATATTAAAAGTTCAGAAAGTTATAGCCTTCTTCAAAATCATTCAAGCTTTTTTGGACACAATCACACAATTTGTAAAACTGCTCAACTTGTAAAAAAGCATACCTAGGAGACTGTTCCACCTGGTTTTAGAATCTAAAACTAATGAACTTTCACTTCTTAGAATGTCTTTTACATGTTTTTGTAAATTTAAAACAAAATCATTTTTAGTGGGAGATTTTTGAATGTTTTCACAACTTTTTATATCATAGAATAAATATCAGTGTTTTTAATATAAATTTCAGATAATATAAATTATAAGATTTCCATATCAGATTTAGTTTCTTCATCAGAACCAGAATTAATTTTATCTATGTTTGTTATTAGGTGATTTTCATTTTTTTTGCTATCTAGTACAACCACTTTTTTTGTATAAAACTTTAAAGGAATCCTAAAGTGCCGAGACAAGTGTTCATGTTAAAGAAAATGTTAAAAAAAAATATATTTGGGCTAAATTTTTTTGATTAAAAGTAAATAATAAATGCATACCAATAAAACCTAAACTTTAGTTTTAAAGTTGTACAAATCATTTCATTACTACAGCTCTATCAGTAATACCATCAACACAGTCCTCTAAATAAAGATTAAACAAAGTTAATTCAGACTAACAACACAGTCCTTTAAACAAAGGTTAAAAAAGGCCAATTTAACACAGTCCTTTAAACAAAGGTTAATTCAGACTTCAAAATTTTCAAAAGACTTAGATTATAAAACTAATTACTTGCATGACTATTAACATTTATATACTGACAATTCCTCAGTGACAATTCCTCAGTGATGTTCACTAGTCCAATGGTAAACTTCTTGTACTTTTAAAGATTGCAATTTATGAATCATTTCTTTTTTTTGTACTTTTTTCTATAGCCCACAACAAATTTTTAGTACGCATTTTAAGATAATATATTTGTATAAGCAAGGAATATTTTTGAAACCTTTAGTTTGCAGTAAGTAGCAAAGATCAGACAAACTAAATTTAGCAAATGGCAAACCCTTCTTAGAATTCATGCAAGAAACAATTGCAGAAAATGATTAATTGGTTTTATTATTAAAATATGTTACTTGGTCTACATTTATTATGTCTTTCATGAAATCTTTGCATCCTGTAGCTTAATTAGCACCTCCTTTTAATATATTCACTTGGTGTTCTTCACAAATGATAATCATCTGTGGAGTGAATTTAATTCACAAGTGAACTTAATACACATTTGAAATGTGTATTAAGTTCACTCGTGCTACTACCACATACTTTAAATCATTTTCCACACACAACAAAGTTACAATTTATACTTTGTCATACTTGAAAAAAAATTAAGGCCGTCGTTCTTGACATTTCTAAAGCGTTTGATAAAGTTTGGCATGCTGGTCTTCTCCATAAGCTTTCTTCTTACGGTGTATCTGGAAACATCTTTAAGATTATTGAATCCTTCTTTTCCATTCGTAGTATAAAAGTTGTCCTTGATGGACAGCACTCTTCTTCTTATTCTGTAACTTCAGGTGTTCCTCAAGTTTCAATCCTTGGCCCTTTACTTTTTTTAATTTACATTAACGATCTTCCAGATATTCTCAAATCTAAGGTGACATTGTTTGCTGATGATACTACCATTTATTCTTGTCACAATAAAAACCAACTTCCTCTGATTGCTTGCAGGGGCATTTGAACTTGAAAAGGATCTCACTTCTGCTATAGCATGGTGCTCACAGTGGCTGGTGAACTTTAGACAAGGTGTAAAAATGCATTGTAAACATAGTTGGACCTGCTCTTGAAGCCAACCTTCAACTTTTGTCACATCGCCGTAATGTTGCTTCTCTTTCTCTTTTCTACAAATACTATAATGGGCACTGCTCTAAAGAGCTAGCGCCTCATGTGCCATATACTAAAATTCATTCTCGTGTTACTCGTTATTAAATTAAGTCTCATCCTTTTTCTGTTACTGTTCCTAAGTGCTCCAAAAACTCTTATTCGTCTAGTTTTTTCCCTCAAACATCAGTTCTTTGGAATTCTCTTCTTTCATTTTGCTTTCCTGATTCATATAATTTGCAATCTTTTAAGTTGTCTGTCAATCATCATCTTGCTCTACAATCTTCATCTTTTCTCTTACAATAACTTCCAACACTAATTAGTGGTTGCTTACAACCTTGTTGCAAGCAAAGATGTTAAAAAAAAAAAAAAAAATACTTAAAAATATTGCCATGCAGCTGTTTTTTTGATTATTACTATCACTAGTGCTTTTTCTATAACATTTTTTGGATCTTGTTAACTCTTTGTTAAATGCAATTTCCATAATCGATTTCTATTAATCTCAATTTTAAGTTCAAAATTAAACATTAAAATGCTCATCTTATGAAAATTTAAACACACACACATATATATGTAATGCTTTTAATTTTAAAGAGAACAATGTTGATACATATATAACACTAATTTATAAAGATTTACAATAAATATTAAAATTAATTATATAATCTATAAAATGTTAAACTATTTTTTGTTGTTTTCACATGTATTTTTTATTCTTAAGTTTATTGCTACGGCTATTTTAACATTTATTCAAGAATCTGTTTGCGCAAAAATTATGTCCGAAGAAATTATTTGCATAGCAACTGCTAATAATTGTGAATAAAAGTTAATATTATCAATCATTATTAATGTTTAAAGGGAGTTATATTAACCTTTGTTCAAAAGGAATTGATTGTTCTAAAGGGAGTTATATTAACCTTTGTTCAAAAGGAATGTTTAGAAATTTTTATACTACTCTTTTTTTTTTAGAAATTTGTTTTGTAAACAGAATTTATTATTTATATTTTCTCTGTTATCTTGTGAAAGTAGGGTAAATATTTAGAATGGCACTTTAAGTATTTAAAGACACATTTTTAGTGCAAGCAAGTTCACATTTTGAGGAAAATTAAATAATTAAACACTTTTTTCAAATTTCAAATTTAGTTTATTTAGGAGATTATATAAGTTAGTTTATAAACATATAACTAAAAGTGTTTACCAGCTGCAGCATGGCAAACAATAAACATCATCACTGTTGTTGTGTGGATCTAGCAACTTCTTTATTGTTAATTCCAGTTTTGTAGTTCAATTAATCTACAAATTTCCAGAATTGTTGAAAACGTTTTAAGATGGCGTCTGGATTAGAGATGTCAACTGATATGCTTTCATTAAACATAATAGCCAAGATTAGTTCAAGTATGTGACATGCAAAATAAAGGTCTTTTTCCAGAGTCTGGTTTATTCAGGTTTTCGTAAAATATTCAGTCAAAATAAGATAAAGAATATCACACAAAATCCATATCTTTAATTCTCACTTTTAAGAGAAGATAGGAGCTCACTCAGAGGAGTAAGGTAAGCACTTTTATTGAGATTTTGGATATTGTTAATGAACACAAGAGACTGCATTTGAGAACTACTTTGTGAAAGTGAAACTTGCAACTCTAGAAAAATTTTTAGTATCTCTGTCTATTCAGTTTGCCTATTTGTTGCTCAATGAAAATTTTTTTCAAGCTGTGGTCAGAAAATTAAAGGTCAAGCCTTCCCAGGAAACATGTTCGATTTTTCGTCTTCAATGTCCATGCATGAATATTTTTTTTAGACAACTTAATCACGGCTGTTTGCAATTTTTATTATATTAGGCCTTGCAGAAATATTTAAGCTTCAAAAACAAAAAAAAACAAAACTAACAAAATAGGAAATTAACTTGAATAGAAAAAATTAATAGTTTATGTACTATTTTTGTTTTCATTTCTATAGAGTGGTTGTTATTTTCAGCAATAAAATTGGATAAGGTAAAGCAAAAAACATTAAAAAGAATGATTTTCCTATATTTTATTTATTTTTTAAAAAAAAAGGAAAGTGAAAATATAAATTGTTTTCTGTTTGTAAAATATAATTCAAAATTTTAATGTAAAAAGAATATACATTTTCCCAATATTAAAACGTCTATGCAATGCATGCGTATACTTCTATATACAACTTTTTTTTATTATACAATTACATATATTTGTTGATAAGTATTTAACTTATTTGAATAAGACGTTTACTTCATATACAGAATGCTTGTGGTTTGAATCTCACCATAGTCAATTTCTTTTAATTGTTTTTCCTTTAAATACCGCTGGTAATATATTTGCATTCTAACCATTTATCCTTTCTTTTTTGTATTATAAAATAATCTTTTTGTTGTATGTTTTTGAATGATACACATCTGATCACATTCAGATTTTTATACCATTTAAGCCTTTCAGCTTATTTTCTAAGTAAGGTGAACACAGATATAAGCATAAGTTTTTAAGCTTCAATTAGGCTGTACCATCTACACATTTATCACAGTCTAATTGTTCCTTATTACTTTGCTATTCCTGTACATTTTATTTCCAATCTTTTAGCGCTTTCTAGTTTTGGATATCTGTTACTTTTTAACATTTGACTCTGTGCATTTAGTTGTTATGTTACAATTACAACAAATACAACAAAAGTTAGTTATTATTGTTAATTGTTATGTTACAATTATTAATAATAGTTGTTAATAATTGCTTATGTATATTTTTACAATAACATAGTAGATCAAAAGGAAGGGGGCAGGTAAAAAAACAAAAAATTATTTTGGGATTAGGTAAGATTCGAACCAAAAACATTCTGTGTATGTAAACACTTTATTCAAATAAGCTAAACATGGTTATACTTATGAACAAACAAATATAATTATATAATAAAAAAAGTTGTACATAAAAGTATATGCATGCATTACATAGACATTTTCATATAGGGACAATATATACTTGTTACATTAAAACTTTAAAATATATTTTACAAACAAAAAGCAATTTATATTTTCGCTTTCCTTTTTTTTAAAAAAAAAGGAAAATATAGAAAAATCATTATTTTTAATGTTGAATTAAAACTTTTTTTGCTTTAACTTACCCAATTTTGTTGCTGAAAATAACAACTACTCTAAAGAAATAAAAAACAAAAATAGTACACAAATTATTAATACTTTTAATTTTTTCTACTTAAATTAATTTCCTATTTTGTTAGTTTTGCATTTTTTATTTTTGAAACTTTTTTTGCAACACTTAACATAAAAAAACTTCGTGCCACCAAGTTGTCTAAAATAAAATGCTCTGTTTTCCCAGTATATAAATATGAGCAAATAAAATATAACACTTTGAATCTAAGCACAGAAATTCTGTTAATCAATTTTATTAAAGTAAATTGTGCAGCCTCTTTTCTATCCATTTTAAATCTAATTTAATCAAATCAAAAGCTGTTAACAAGATTTTAATTGTCAAAAGTTGTTATTTATTTAATTTTGTCAGTTATTTAAATGCTTAAATATACTTTAACATTATTATACTGATTTTTATTTCTTATTTTTTAAAGTTTTTATCTTTTTATTTTATTTTTTGAAACCAACTTTATACATAAAAATAATAATTTGTAATAATTATATTTTATAATACCAATTTTTCTAAACCTTAAATTCTTGCTAACCCTTTCTTAATATTTTCATACCACAAATAATATAAATAAATTTTCACCTCAAGTCAATGTAAATATAAATAAATTTTCACCTCAAGTCAATGTTATTATCTCCCCCACTTCTTTCTTCTTCTTCAAGAACAAGCTTGTGTAGGGAAGGTATTGCAATCTTAAGAACAGATACATTTAAACTTCCCACTAGTGCTAGTGTATCTAGAATTATACCCTAAAAACAATATTTTTGGATAAAAGAAAATTTTACTTTTTAAAAAAACAACTTGAAAATGAAAATAAGATTCAATTTAACACATACTTGTTGAGAAGAAATTTTTTCAGATGCAAAACTGATTAGTATGGTCGCTAAATGTGATTCACTAAAAAATAGTATATATTTTACAGAATGCATTTTCTAAATTATATTGTAAATACTATTATATGCTTTATGTAATTTCTAAAATGCTGTTATATTTAACTTTTAACATAATTTATAAAAGTTTTATTTCTTTTATTTAAATTGATGGTTCATGTTTAATGTCATTTAATTTTTTCCTTAACAAATTTATGTCATTGGTTAATGTTCAATGTTACACCATGATGCATTATTTAATGTTATTTAAAAATATTACATTATTGATTCATGTTATATAAAAATGTTGTATTATTGGTTTATGTCATATATGTAATATCATTGGTTTATATTATATAAAAAGTAACTAGTATAATTTCATTTAATATTAAAACTTACATGCTACATTTTTTGTATGATGCATCAAAAATAACCTTTAGTATACTCATAACTAGATACAAGAGATAAAACCATAAATATTCATTATAAAAAAATATAAATCGTATAATTAAAATATAAGTTAAGCTAATAAAATATTAGTAATAATAATAACAAAAATATAAAACATCAAGTTGACAAAATAATCTATGTATTTTATTTTATTTTTATATTAAATTTCTAATAATAAATTTAGTAAGAGCAAGCCCGATTGTTGCTCTAACCCTGTTGGGTTTAGTTGCCTGGTTGATTCTGACAGTAGTTATATGCTCTAGAGTGTCCCAAAAAACAACTTTTTTGTCTGCTCTCACCACCTAAATATGTTCTATATAAGAAAATAATAAGATTTAAAAATTTTTGGAAGAAATTTTTTTTTAAGAGTGGCCTAAAACCTAGACAGGATCCCTAATATTATCAAAAAAATTTCTTTAAAAATATGTCATGTTGGTTCTTAAAAAAAAGAAAATCACATAAAAATTTCAAAAATAAGAACTTTATTTAATAAAAACATCCTAAAAAAATTTAAAAACTGTGTAAAAATGATTCATTTTATATTTAAAAAAACCATAGTTTTTATGCATTAAAACCATAATTTGTATATAAAATAACTATTTTCAAATATTTACACTCTAATAATATGGTTGCCTAAGAGATTAAACCATGTTTTTTAAGTGTAAGTACAATTGTAGATTGAAAAATGCCTTTAAGAATTAAAATCTGAAATATTTATTTTATTATGGTAAAGTTATTTAAAATAATATAAGATATAAAAGTATATAAATATAAATGTTTTTGTCAACTTGATGTTTTATAACTTTATATATTTAACATAAAAAATTTAAATAATAATGATAATACAAATAACAAAAACTGATAAACAAAGAGAGTAAAAATGTATACCTAATTGCCTGACATTAGGTGGTTCACCTTTTCCTCTTAGTTTTTCACAAGCCAAAAGACAATTAAGAATTTTTATCAGAACCATGTCTGCGCAACTACAAAAAAAAAACTCAAACAAAATTGAAAACCATGAGAAATTTAAAAATAATTCAGAAAAAATCTCACTTAATTAACTCTTCTTCAGACTCTGCTGTTTGTAGTAAACTTGATATAAAATAAAGAACCTATAGAGAAAAAAAACTTGCATAAGAAACTATAGATAAGTTAACTAAAAGAAAAAAAAGTAACTACAAAGCATATTTACAGCAGCAAGCTGTTCTGGAGGTTGAGGAAGATATAAGAAATGATCACGCAAGAGATTTAATACAAAATATCTGTAGTCTCTAAATTTAAAGTTAAAAAAAAATTATTTAAAATTATCAATAGAAAAAAAAAAATAGTAATAAAAAATATTGCTTAAAAGTATATCAAAACCTGAACTGTTTAGAAGTCATTCCTTCAGGAGATTCTTTTAAAACTATCTTTATAAAGAAAAGAAGAGGTTACATTAAGCAATAAAAATAACAGGCTTAAATATGAAAAATATATTTGATAAATATATAAATAGTTAAAGTAAAAAAAAAATTATATACAATTATAAAATTATTTAAATATTAAAATATCCTATTAATGCAAATGTCTCATCATAAACTTTTTTAGCAATACAACATCAAAATACTATACCAAAAAAGGATTTGATGACCGATTGATAAAACATTTAACAGATGACTGAACAAAATATCTATGAAATATCTCTTTAATTTTTCTTGCAAGAAAATCATCTTTCTTAAAATCCAAGGCAATCAAACCAGACAAAAACTAACATCAAAAAATCAAAACACTTTATCAGTATCTATATGTATATATGCATGTAAATATGTATGTATGTATGTATGTATGCATGCATGCATGCATGTATGTATGTATGTATGTATGTATATATGTATGTATGCATGTATGTATGCATCTATATATATATATATATATATATATATATATATATATATATATATATATATATATATATATATATATATATATATATATATATATATATATATATATATATTTATATATATATATATATATATATATATATATATATATATATATATATATATATATATATATATATATATATATATATATATGTATGTATATATATATGTATATATATATAGATGCATACATACATACATACATACTTACATGCATGCATGCATGTAAATATGTATATATATAAACTGATTTTCCGCTAAACTTTAGCGGAAAATCAGTTTTTTTTGCAAAAAATAACAATATTTGCTGTAAAAAACATTAAAAAAAAAGGTTCTCATATTTTAATTTGGGCGGCGCCCAAATGAAAAGCTATATCATGAGCAGGAAAAGTAAGGAAAATAAAGCTAAATGTTCAGAATCTTTGAAAGTGAAAGAAAATTTCTGGAAAGAAAGTTTAAGCATCCAATTTGACATCGCTCATGCAAACAGATTAGATATGATAAAAATTGAAGAAGATAAACAGTTTTTGATGGCACAACATGACGATGGTTATGGTGGAAAGATGTTAGAAGTAGATACAGCACTAGCAAGTAAATAAGCCAGGAAAATGAAAATACAAGCAGATTTTTAAAAGAGAAAAGCAAATGCAGAAGTATATTACTAGTGTAAAAAATAATCAGTATTATTATAATCATTGTCAAAAGGTGAAAATAACCAAGACGAAAGTGAGGGTGAGATAATGGAGAAATACTTATTGTCTGCTTCTTCATCAAACAGAACAGTATGCAGAAAAAGCAGTAAAAAACAGCAGATTTTAATGAGAAGTTAGTCTGGATGTAGCTGAACTAAGTGATTGCAAAGCTCTTCTAGTACTTACCCATCATTGAAACTCTTAGCTTAAAACCAGAATAATACAGTATCAGCTTTTATGCAATTAGTAGAAATCGAATTAAATATTAACCTTTAATAGTTGAAAAGCTTACAAAATGATTTAAACCCGAAGTTTCACTAACTATCCATTTGGGTGAAAAGCTTTTGGGAGATAAAAGTGAGAAAGTAATTGTTATTTGCTTAGGTGTTTTAGTGTCTGGTGATGTTGATTAGCTACTTGTTGTGTCCAAGTTGCCTATGGTAACCGGAGAATCATCTTCATCAGCTGTTCATGAACCTATTATTGAGTGAAAATTGAAGATGGTGTTAAATGTGTTTTGATACTAAAGCGCCAAACACGGGGCCAGGAAGTGGTACATGTAACTTATTGAAAAAAAATTAGGAAAAGATTTTATGTGGTTTGCTTGTCATCATCACTTTATGGAGATTATGCTGAAAGCTGCTGTCACTACTGCGATTGGTTGTTCAACTGGGCCAGATATTTCGTTGTTTAAGTGGATTCAAAAAAACTGGATTGGCCTTGATAATTAAAATTAAAAAATAATTAATGGTAATTCTAAATGATCATGCTGCTCAATTGGTTGCAGATATTACAGACAACATTAAATTTACTGCTAAACAACTTCAAGAATATCAGCCACATGATGATTGCAAATAGTTGCTAGAACTTACAATAATATAATAACTTCTTGGAGAAAGTTCCTAAACAAGCCATTTTTTAAAAAAATTGGTATAAGTTTGAATAAACTTATACCAATATTTTAAAATAAAATAAAGCTGATTAAAAGAAAAATACATTGTAAATAGTTACTAACAACAAAAATAAAAATAATAATTGAAAATTGTAAAGCTATCATTAAATAAATAATATAACCAATTCATACATTATACCAACAAAAAAAAAAACTAAAAAAAAAATTAAAAAAAACTTACTAAATGCAAGTGTTCAGAGGATTTTTCAAGAAAAAGAGGCGGAAAAGGTTTCTTAGAAGAATTTAATGGAAGAACAAATAAATCTAACATCTGAGGAAGCAAACAAACTGGGGATGACTAAAAAAAATATGTTAATAATAAGACTTTACTGGTAGCAGTAGCAAAACTAGTAGCAAAGTCAATTTTTTTTTATTTTTAAATTTAATAACCATAAGCAGCACATCATTATAACTATATATTTTTGTTAAAATCAATTTTATCTAATGTTACATTTCATAACTTCTTTATCTCCCCTATTCTACTTCAAATAGTTTCAATAAAAATTAAAATACAAAGATTTTTCTCAGATTTCAGATAATCAACCAAGATTCAAGTAATATAACTGAAAAATATTTAAAAAAAAAATTAACTATAATTATTTATAATAAATTTGAAATGGTTAACAAAATTGTTATATTACAAAAAACTTTTTTTTTAATTCAATTTTTAATTCAACAACAAAAAAAGTACTATAGATTTTAAAATAAATAGAAAATTAAAACAATAACATATTAATATTAATTTATAACAATAATTGTATATTAATATTACATTATATATACAATTAAATCAAACAAGCAAACTTACTTTGCTATAAATAGCTTTAGCACAGTACTTAACTAAGTTTCCATTCACAATAAACATCAGCTCCACAGTCTTCATACATTCACAACTCATTAAAACAGGTTTACATATATCAAGAACATTTCGGAAAAAAGTGTCAATAGTTTTGCGAAAACTAAACGCCTCTGTGATGGATTGTTGCATCATATACGATCTACTGATTCCTACAACAAATTTAAGTAGTACCAGAGAAGAAAAATCGCAAGGAGGAAACTTAGTATCATCAATGTTTTTAATGTAGTTAGAAAACTCTTTTATTTCAAACAATGCTCTAGTAAATTCCAAAGAATCGATTTTGTTGACATTTGACAATAAAACACAATGAATCCAAGTATTAATAAGTAAATTTCTATGATTGGATTGTTCTTCATGAGAAAGTAAATTTATAACTTCAGGCGATAAAAGAACTTTTGATAAATAAATACATTTAAAATTAAGCGAATGTGAAGTGCTATTTGAAAACTTTGAAAAAAGTTCTTGAAATTTTACAGGTGCAATTTCTTTACTGAAACATTAAAAACAAATTTTTTATTAAATACTTTTATTAATTTTTTAAAACTTCTAGAAAGATAAAAACTTTATAACTACCTCAATAATGAAAGCACAGTAAAATCAGCAAGTAAATCTGCAACGAGATCATCTGATCCTACTTCTTCAACGTGACTAAACACAACAGTCCATAATTGATTAATCAAGAGGTCTTTCAATTTTCCTTGAATATAAGAACAGCTAAAAATAATTTTTATATGCCTTAGGACTACCAGTCTTTCTGTCCTTGACATTATTGTAAGAAGTTTACTATACGCAGGACACAACAGTTTTTCTTCGCCAGGAAGAAAAGTTACAAAATCAAGGGATTGCTCCATGCATTCAAAGTAAAAACAAATCAAACTCCATGTATCCTGGTGTGTTGTATCTTGTAAACAGTGCTTTGCGACCACTTTAGTAAAAAGTTCAACAATTTTTTCAATAAGATAGTCTATTTGATATTTCTCATTTTTGCAAATCAATACTCCAGTAAACAGCACAAGAAAAATAGATTTTTTTATTGAAAAACTTTTATGGTCAAAAGAAATGCATGTTATATGTGAACACATTTTGTGAATTATATCCATCGAATCAAAAACTATTGCGCTTTTTAAAAATAAAGTCCCAAATCTTTCAAAATCGACTGGGGTGATGTCTTCCATTCGTCTCTTGTGAAACTTAGACAAAATTCTATTGTAACAAATAAAGTTATTTAAAAAACAAAAATACAAACATTAACACACAAAAAATGTTCAATTTTTACATTAAAATTTGCACAAACCTTCCCTTAATCTGTGATAAAAATTGCGGAGATAAATCTTTTACTCTTATAACAATTCTTTCAAGAACACCACAGAACAAATCAAAACTTTGTATTTCACCATTAAGAATAACTTGTTCAGAAACCATTTGTCTGCATGCATCAAACTTTATTAATGGTGTAATTTGAGCAGCATGATTGATGTACGAGTCAAGATTACTTGAATTTTTTTGATGATACAAAGGCTAATACAAAAAATATAAATGATGTTAATTCAAGATTGTCAACTCAAGCTATTTGAAAAATGTTTACAATGCATAAAACAGCAAGTTTACAATGCATAAAACAGCAAACAAGATTCAAATAAATCAAATAATTGAAATAATCAAAATAATTAAATGTATATAAAATAACTAAATGTGTATATATATATGAAGGGTGCCAGTGATGTCACATTTTAACATTTTTTGAGTTATTATCCCAACTATGTTAAAGATAAGTTTCTGCATTTTTACACAAATGGGTATGAAAAAAAGTTAAATCACACCTCACACCTAAATTTATATGTAGAAAAAAGGGGTCGCAAGGGGTAAACCAGAGATGTCCAAATTGTTCAAGAGGTAAACCGGAGATGTCCAAAACCCTTTGCGCAGAATAGGAATGTTGCTTCCAAATATTACATTTCAGCCAACCGGATTTGTTTTCACCAAAAACATAATACTCTTATATTTGCTGAAATAGTGGACAAATGTCAGTATCCTGATATATCAGAAATTCCAAAAAAGAAAAAAATATATGGTCAAAAGTGGGAAAGAAATAGAAATGAACGAATATCATAACATGTTATTGGTTTTCCGTGTCATTGCAAACAGTATAAGTGTTTTGAAGAAACGAAAGTGGAAGAAAGGAATTTTTTACTGTTGTACTTTAATAAAATGCAAAATAAAGATCAACATGACAAAAATTTTTTTGCTTCAATGATTGAAGTTTTAAGTATTAAACGAAGAAGACCTCGGAAAAAAGAAGAAAAAAGGTTTCTTCGTGATCATTCATTCTCTTATTATATCAAAGTGACACGAGATAATAATATCGTAAGAGTTCCAGTTTGTATCAATGCTATCTTATCAATATTTGGCATTGGAAAATCAAGAATAGAAAGAATAAGAGGATTTCTTGTTAAGACAGGTTAGTAAAAATAAATAAATATTTTGCATTATCAAGTACAAATTATTCATTTGAATAAATAATGCACACACAAATTTATCTTTTATAAAAGAAAAGTTTTTGTCTGAATTTAAGCCCCTATAAATTATAATATAATTTATAGGGGCTTAAATTATAATATAATTTATAGGCTACAAACCGACCTCTTGCTTTTTCAGAGAATATTGTAAATAGTATCATTGATCATATCAAATCTTTTAAAGGACGCCAATGTCATTATGCTTTGCATGAAACTAGAAAGTTGTATTTGCCAGAGGATCTCAATTATTCGAAAATGTATAATATGTACAAAGAGTGTTTCCCACAAAATAAAGTTTGTTGTGAAAGGTACTTTGATAATATTTAGTTGCTTATTTATAAGAGTATTATTTGATATTATCTAATTGTCTACTTTTCTTATCAGAAAAATATTTGCAGAAAAATTTAACATCAGCTTTGGTTATCCTCGTAAAGATGCATGCTCAACATGCAACAAGCTCAATATTATACTTGAAAATCAAGACACTGATGCAGCTCAGATCATCAAAGCTAGTCACGAAAAAGAACTTTATTTGCAAAAAGCAGAAATGTTTTATACCAGAAAGACAGAAGCACGTAGTAATTCAAAAACTGGTCATCTAGCTCTTGCTTTTGACTTTGCGAAGAATATGAGTTGTCTTAATATATCTACAAATGATGTTTATTATCGTAGACAGCTCTCTATGTACACATTTAATATACACTGCTTATGGTCAAACAGTGTTCACTGGTTTTTTTACGATGAAACTTATGGGCAGAAAAGAGCGGACAATGTAGTAAGTATGCTGGAGTATTATTTTGAAGACATTTTACCAAAAGATGTATCTCATTTGCAGCTTTTTTGTGATTCCTGTGCTGGGCAAAATAAGAACTGGACTGTTATTCGTTTTTTGCACTTCAATGTTGTGAATAAGAAATGGTTTTACCAAATAAAGATATCTTTCCCAATAAGAGGCCACAGTTACATGGAGTGTGACCGAGATATGGTATTAGTTAATCAGAAGGTTCGACAGAGCTACCAGTAAATTGGATGGAAGAATTTCATACCTGTCGTGAGAAACCTTCACCATTTAAAATTATCAAGATGGAAGTGAAAATGTTCTTTAATTTTTCTGATCATATGAAACAATTTTACAAAGTTAAATGTCCAATACCAACACGCCCTATACGTGAAATAATTTTCTCACAAGATTTTCCTACTATGTTACAATACAGATTTAATTGGAATGGACCTTTTAAAAGAGTTGTTATAACAAAAGCTATAGGAAAAAAGAAGCAGTTATTGCAAAAACCCCTCACATGTTTGTACAGCAAGAGATTGCCGATCAGCTGTGCCAAGTATGTGGACCTTCAAGTTCTAAAATATTTTTGCATGCCAGAAGCCCAGCAGTTTTTTAACAACCTGCCTCACAAAGGTCAGTTAAGTGATAATGAATTAGTATCAGAGTTGTCTGAATATATAAGTGAATTTAAATTACTGAAACAAATAGCGATTAGAGGAAAAAGATAAATTAATTTTGAAATCATAGTAAATTTTGTGTTTACATATTATTTTAAACATAGTAGTATATTATTAAAAATGTACTCTCGAGTGCCGAATACAACGGGGGTGGGATAAACGGGTGGGTGGGAATTTTAGTCAAAATCTAATAAACAGGGTGGGGGGGGGTTAATAAAGGAGGTGGGGAGATTTTTTTTTAAATTTAATAAACGGGGGGAGGGGGGCATGTTCAATGCCACCCCCCCCCTTCTTCTGTTTATTCGGCATGCAAATTATGCATGTTCAAGTCAAATGCGCATTTGACTTGCGGTCAAAAGCGCATTTTGACCGCAAGTCAAATGCGCATTTGTTACACAGCTGTTAGGGTAGGGTTAGGCTGTTTTATCATAATTTCAATAGGATTTAATATGCTGATACAAGTTTTATAATTTGCAAAGTATAAAACTTTTATACAACATATTAAATCCTATAATTAAAACCAAAGCTTTGTTGAGAAATAAACTAAAAGTTCATTTTTAGCAAATCGAGATTTAATAGGTCGACAATTTGTAAAACCTGTTTACACTGAATGTTTTTGTTTTTATCGGTGACTGAAAATTGTTTTCAAATTTTTAAGGCCAATTTTCACTGAATTTTTTTTTTTACTTTTGAGATATAATTTTGTTGACAAGTAAAAATTATTAAACGGGTGGGTCTTAATAAACTTAGGGTGAGTGGGAAAAGTATTCAAAAATTATTAAACAGGGGGGGGGGGGGACGTTTATTAGGAACTCGAGAGTATTAAAAAAGACTTTTGATTTTTCAACAGTAATCATTTTTGTATTGTAAATCTTAAATAAAATCAAATTCTTTACACTCTCTTTAACATACATTTTTTTCAAAAGCAAAATTGTGTTAGATAATTCATTATTTTAGGCTAGGGGTAGAAAGTTGTTGAAATATGGATTAAACAAATAAACTTAATAAATTTATTTTTTAAACATAATATTATGGAGAAGCTTATACAACAACTTTTTTTTTTCTTCATTATTCACCTCCCCAAGCCCTGAGGGGGGCCACTACAGTCGAGGAGGATACTCATTTTTTTGTGTTTATTTTTTTTTTGTTATTACTCGAGGGAAAACCCTCTCTCAACTCTTTAACTCCGAAACACGAACCTTGACGAGCAAGGCCGCTGCGCGGAGAAAGTAAGTTGAGCGTGGTACTTCCAGGGACGTGGTGGGAGTCGAACTTCGAACCTCTTGCTTACAAAGCGAGCGCTCTTACCATTACACAACTGTTACATTTTGCTCCTTCTTGCTTTATCTTGCTCTCTCACATACCGCCTATAAGTTGTGCCGCACAAAACTTATAGGCGGTATGTGATAATAAATCCCTTTTGGAGTTTTTTTTTTCACCTTCTCGCTTTCCCTGACAGTGCTAATTATTTGAATAAAACATAACAGTTATGCATTTGAATGTATTATTTAAAAAATTGAACATTAAAAAGGACAAAAAAGGACAAGGGGAGGGGGAGGTTGTCAGAAAAGGATGCCACTTTATAGATTTTTTTTTTTACTTTAATTAACATGGAAAACTACGTAAACATGTGTTTTTAAGAAGATAATATATGAGAATATTTTTAATTTTATTTTTCAAAGGTGTAGCAGCAGATTCAAACATCATTGCCAGATGAAATAAATTTTTTTGGAGTTAAAAAAAGGGAGGGGGGTCAGGATTTTATGATGTCTATTTCCAGGGGGTATAGAGAAAAAGGACAACCGGTGACAAAGAGGGGGAGGGGGAGAGGGAGGTCAAAAATTGGCTAAAAAATTGTGACGTCCTTTATGGATGGCTCCTAAAAGCAAATTTCTTCTTTAAAAGTTCGATTCGGGTGATTAGGCAGCTGTTTACAGCCGTTCTTTTTTTTTTCTTTTTTCTTTTTGTTGTTTGTTGTTATGACAACGGAGCACACTTTATTGTAACTTTATATTTTAACGGTTTTTTTATTTCTTGATTTTGTATTACATGGCTGATGATTGCCTTTAGGCATGAAACTATTAGTACCATAAAAGGTTGTATTTTCTTTGTTTACAAATTTGTATATATATAATGCTCAATTAAATAAATAAATAAATCCTATTTGTTTATTATTGAGCACTCTTATACGTACAAGAATTTTTGTATTTTATATACAAATACAAAATACCATTTAATATATATATATATATATATATATATATATATATATATATATATATATATATATATATATATATATATATATATATATATATATATATATATATATATATATATATTAAGATGTTTTTATATTATTAATATAACATAACATGTATTTATATTATTAATATAACATATAAAATAATAGTAACGTTATATAAAATAAGACTATATTAATGAATAACTGTATATATTAACAAAAAAACAACTACACCTTTATAAACATTCTATTTCACAGTATTTTTGTACATATTTTATACGGTACATATCTCATTAAGTATAACGATCATAGGTCATTAAGTTTTTTTAATAGGTTTATTTAGTTTTAGTTAAAAAGGAAATTTAGTTAACTTGGCCAAGATCAAATCTGGTGTTAGGCTCAGCATGTTGCTTTAAATAATTACTCTGGTGTAGAATGTGTGCAAATGTGTTTCATTAGTTTAAAAAATAAATAGAGATATTGTCAACACATTAACAATGATTTGCCACCAACAACATTGAGAAGCAACCCAATTTCTTCAGAAGCAAAAGTGCCAACATCAATGACACTTTTATCAAAGTAACTGGAAGTTTTCAAAAAGTAATAGGTAAAAATTATTTTTTATCATTATTATTATTATTTTTTTATTATTTAGATGCCCCAAGAAGTCCTAACGGTCTGGTCACAGAGCACTGTGGAAGTGCATTTAACCAGGAAGTTCACGTCTCCTTCCTTACTGTAACCTGAAATATGTCCAATGCTCGTTTCGAACTCGGATCTCCTGCTTATAAAGCAAACACTCTAACCATTGCACCACAGCCGCACAACTATTAGTCAGTTCAAAAAAAAATAGCAACAAAGAAAGAATAATAATTTAAACTTTATTATTAAACATGCTTGTTATTAAAAGACTGTTACAAATGAAGTTTAAAAGAGTTGATTTATAGAAGTTTACTTACTCAAAAATAGCTTTATTCTCTTTTCAGAGTTGTTGTCAAAAAGTATCCTGGATAAAGATTTTTATTTTTTCTAATTCTGCATTAAAAAAAACATTGGAATATGATTCTAATGCAGATTTCCTTTATGCAGACTCAGGATATAGGTTGTTAACAGTCATGATTACACTAATTAATCAGCCAACTACACCAGAGAAAGTATACTTTATTAAAGTTCACCTTCAAGTAATTAGTGATGTGGATCAAATACCTCGGTCATCTCAAAACCCATTGGAGGTCACAATGAGGTGGAGCACTTCAGTGCTCTTAACATATGCTCACCCTAACAAAATACTGCAAAATATGTTTTACATGTATTTTAATGAAAAACTTTTGCAATTGCTTAGAATTAGAAATTCCAGACGACATTAACTTTCAGGACAAAGATGAATATAATGCACATGATGTTCATGATAAATTAACACAAACCAACCAAATTCAACTTGTCGTTGTACAAAGTACACAAATTAAAACTACTTGTTTGCAAATCGAAGGCGTTAATATATTGTTGAATGTTGTAAGGGTGAATGTTACAAAGATTTTTGATTTATGACACGTTTAGGCATTATGCAAACTCCAAACATAAGTATGTTCATGCCTGTGTCAAATTAAAAAAGTTTTGGAAAAAAAAAAGCAATGGACTCTGGTATGAAAAATGCTTGCTCTTCAAACCCCCCGCCCCACACACACACCTACGCCAAATATCAGTGCGATTAATTAATGAAATAGCATGAACATGCAGAGTGCAGAGTTTGCATAAAACCTGAAAGTGCCATATCTGAATTTTATGAAATATTGTAGTTATATACAAATTTTTAGTTATTTATATTTTAAATAAACACTATTTACGTGATATTTATGATTTAAAGTTTAATTGTATATTAGTAAAAAATCAAAATTTACCTGGCCTTTTTAGATTAACCACTTAGATTAATTAACCACGTTTTTAGATTAACCACTTAGATAAACCACGTAGATTAATCAATTACCCTCGCTTCCTCTTTTTACTTTAAATTAGTTTCCTATTTTTTATATTATTTTTTACAAAATAAATAATCAATAAAAAAAATTTATTTAGTTTTATAGCAGTTCATATAAAAAACTGCTATAAAATTTACGTGGTTTCTGCTTTCATGGTGAAGAAAATGATTTTGTAGGGATAACTGTTGAGAGTGAAAAAATAAATGAAATGTTAGTGAAAGTAATTATACCTCAATGAATGAATATATAAGTGTGTTTCTAAAGCCCAAGATTAATTTCAAAGCTGTATGTTGTTATAAAATGACCTCATCTTCCCAACGGAACACAATTTTACTGGTTTTAAGAGTGATTGAAGAAGATAAAATACTTAAATTTATCAAAACAACACACAAGTTAAGATAAGAGTGTCACAGCCAAAATGTTGAAAGACAATGAAAACTTGGTAAGAAGCTTCAGCATCTGTGGTTGGACACAATCGCAGAGCTGGAGTTATTTGAAACAAAATTAGGTACAGGAAATTTATTAAAAATTTCACATCAAAAAGTGATTTTAAATTGAAATGTTTTATATATAAATAACTACTGCATTACAGTTGTAAGGATTTTATATCTTGATAGTTAATTTGAACATAGATATATATTGAAAGTGTTTTTTATCATATTTTTGTAATATACATAGATCACCCTGAATGATTAGAAATTTTACATTTTGAGACTTGAACCTAAGTGGGTCAGATAAAAATAATGTGTTATATAAATCAAAAACCAGGTATTAGAAGGGGACATTTCTGATTTGTTAAATTTTTAATTTTTCAGCCCTCAATGTACAAAAGTGTTATACATACTGTCTGTCAAGGCTGTAATCAAACCCATGACCAAAACATGTATTTTGAGATGTGTAAGAAGGTGGTTGAAAAGTTTGAAATAATGCTGCTTAAAGGGATTCTTTAATGGTATAAATATTTTCTTGTGTTTGAAAAAATAAGTTTGTACTATCTAAAACAGCATATTTTTCTTACTCTGGTTTTCATTAATAACAAATATTTACCAATAACTAAAAACATTTTTTTATACTAGTTTAAATTAGTGACATTTTTTCTTACTTTTTTAAATAGTGCGATTCAATATTGTTGTTACAAACAATAGTTTAAACAGTGTCATGGTTAAAAAATATTAATTAGCATAAACTTCATATGAAGTAAATTCTTCTTGATTAGCATTTTTTTTTTTTCATCTGCAACTCCCTACATCTTGTTTTATAAGCAAATGGTTTATTTTCTTTTTCAAATAGCAAATACACCAAATATATATAAATATATTTTATTTGTTTTCATTTTGTGTCTTTAGTTCATTTGTTGTTTGGGTACATTGTTTTTGGTTACACCTCTCTATGATTGAGAAACTGACTCTTGACAAATATTGCTAAAATGAAACAAAGAATGGGTTTTGAAAAGCTATATCCAATATAACAGGATTTCAACTTTACCTAAAAATTACCACCAGCAGCAAAAGTATAATTTATAGGTTACATTCTCACTAAAAGTAAACAAATTGCCATTTGTTGGAGAAAAAAAAAACAGTTTAATTATTTTTTAACCACTTTAAAAACTTTAATATAACAAATATGACTAAAAAAAGGTCAAGAATTTATTTTTAAAAATACTTTAAAACTTTCAAAACTTATTTTTCAATAAAGCATCTCACCATCATTTTATTAACATGATCCCACAATGCTTTAAAAACATCAAAATGAAAACTCCAATGTTCATTAAGTTGATAGCAGACACGCAGTAAAAACACAAGACACTTTTCGTCCTAGAAAAAAGAAAACTGTAAGAAACATTTTCATTCATAATTTTAAGTTGTTTAAAATATTAAAACAAAATATATCAAAATAATTAAACTAATTCAATAATATTAATAACAAAAAAAATATTAATAGCAAAACTTATAATCAAAACAATAATAATAACATAATAACAATAAAAAATATAATGCTTATGTTTTAATAAAAACTATATTATATATAGTTTTTCACTATATATATGTAACTTTTCACTATATATACTTCACAGCTAAACATATATATAGTTTAGCTTATGTTTTAATAAAAAATATATTAAATTAAAATAACTCAAGAACTCACCTAGGAAACAAAATACTCTGAAATAAAACGAGAAAAAAAAGTGGAAAAATATTGTGTTTGAGAAAGAAAAAAAAGAGATAAGAAAAGTGAATGAGTGTGATAATATTAAAATTAGCTATTGGAGTTTTTAATATAATTTCAGTACATCACAAACATAAAGAACAAGGGGAAAAAAAAGAACTCTACATTTTTAAATTTTTTGAAAAATGTTAGGGATAAATGAGGTCATTTTTATATTAAGAACAGGCATGTTGGTGCAGCCACAGATGGTTTTGCGGGAGTACATAGTGGTATAGGGGTTTAGCCTAATATAAAATATAAAAAATATAAAATAAGGGAAATGCTATAAATATATTCAGATGATATGGGATGCTATGTGGAAAATATATTGAAAAACATAAAAAAAAAGGTATTCTAGAAGTATCTAATGAAGTATGTAAAAAAATATAAGATCCTCAGAGACATTGGTTTACAGAGAGAAAAAAAAGAAAATTTTATAAAATTTGGAAAAAGTCGGATAATGATGAAACATTGTTACATTGTTAAGCAAAAAACAAAACAAGCTGTATACAACATGGTGGATGGCTCATAAAGAGCTTAATTAGAAAAATAGCTTATCTGTTTTGAATAAGATTAGTAAACTAGTTGTAACTCTAATTATGAGAAATCAGCTATTTAGAAGGCTTAGTTAGATAAGGTTGCTATGTTCTGGTTTATTGGCTGAGAAGTTAAAAGCCTAAAGGGATGTAGTTTTTAATGAAGATAAAATCCCAAATAATTGGGAGCAAAGTTGGATGGTAAAGATTTATGAAGGAGGTAACTAAAAGGAGTCCCACTACAATGTAGTTCATATCAAGAAACAAAATAGCTTGAGCAGGTGGTAAAAATATTAAAAAGAATTATTGCCAACATAATTTGAAGAAGTGTATGCAGGTATGCGAAGTCCTATCAATTTTTAGGGACTCCGGACTCCAGGGTCAAAAAAGAGGGACTTCTTGGACTTCGAATTTTTTTTTTTGTCTAAACCGGAGTTTTTACGGATGAAAAAGTCCTAAAAATGCTAGAATAGACTATTTAAAGTTTTTAATATACTATAAGAAATTTATTGATTTCATTTCTTATCGGTTAAAGGTATTTATTAATACTACTAATATAATTTAGATTAGCAAATTTGTTAACTTTTTTACTTATATACTATTACTTATATACTAGCGGATTTGCATACTATGTTAAAAAGCTTTTTTATTTTATTTTTTTAATTTAGTTTAATCATTAAATCATTTAAAATTTGTTCTAAAACTTGAAATAGCTTGAACATGTTATTTCTGTCAATATTATATACAGCATCAAATACATATATAAATAAACTATATATATGTAAATAAAAATATTTTGTATATTTTTATTTACATATATATAGTTTAGCTGTGAAGCAACTTTTCCACAAAGTTTTTGTATGGGTTTGCAATACATAGCATTCAAACAAGAAACTTATTCATGCGCAAAAAAAAAAATTATCAACTAAATCAGATGTAAAGCGATTACGATGGTCTGGAGTCATGTGCTTCCACACCAAAAACAGTTATTCTACGCTTACTTGAGAAAAAGACAAAGCAACTCTGCAGGCCTCCTTTATAATTTCTGGAAAATGATCAGTCGCATTGAATGGGTTAACTTTTAAAAAATCATCTAGGTTGGATGAGTTATTCTTAAAATTTGACCTATTTCCGGAAATACTTTTAAAGCAGCTTGAAATTCTGTTACAATCGTACAAAGTTGGTTCTGCACATCTTCTGAAAAATTTCCTTCTATCTCCTTTTGGCACAGTAAAAATAAGTTAGCTCTCCGTTTTTTTACTGGCAAGTCATGCGCCTTATTTTCAGATTCTGAATCAAACACACACAGACAGCAGAAGAGTTGGTTGATATTACTTTGCTCTTGGACACTCTTATTTTTATTTTCCAGTTGAATTAGTTTGTACTTTATCTTCAAATGCTGTCAGCTGCAGTCATTTAAAGAAATTTGTAATTTTGAATATGCTTATTATTTACATTCATTTCTATAGAATACATTTATATAATATATATTTATATAGATAAAGTGGTGATAATATTATAACTATAATAAACTATAATAATAAAAAAATCTTGTCTTCACTTATTAGCACACAACCATGTCGAACATCTACACAAACACTGCTGTGAGAAAAAGTGAATTTTCTTGTAGGGCAATTTCCCGATTCATCATTTTCTTCTGAATTTCTTTTCTAACTTATGGCCTTTGCCATCAAGTTCACACCTATTATTGAGTTCCAGTCAAAGAGAAATTCACTTGCAGTGATATTCTTCCGCTGAAGGCAAATAGTGAGATCGCGAGCCATCTCCAATACATCTTGTAGTTCTTCCCAGATGCCCCAATATTGCTGAACATTAAACTCCTTAGGAGCTCCTTTTAGTGTGTTCAGCTTTTCTACAATTGGTCGAATCTGAAAAAATAAAATATTTTATGAAAAGTCTATGCACTTTTTAATTATATTGCAGAAGTGGGTATTTCTATATTAAAGAAGGGCTGTCACACAAGCATTTCAAAAAATCAGTAGGGAATAAATTTTTTGGAATCATAATGCAGAATCAATATTGAATTATTTTGGATATTCGAACAAAAAGAGCAAAAAAAAATCTCTATTTATATGTAACAAGTAAATTAAATAGTTTAAATAGTAACTTATTAACTAACCTTAAGCCTTTCAATGGTGTTAAACTGGATCGACCAACGGGTAGCCTGATCTAAAATAGTTTGGGGATTGATCTCTGAAGTAGTCAACCCACTTTGAATTTCTTGTAACGTTTACAACTTCTCTTGCACTACTAATTAAATTCTTTATCGTGGGATTCTTTAAAGCATCATTGAGTGACAGCTGTAGAGTGTGGAAAGCACATCTTTGAAGGTGAATTATGTTCATACTTCTAACAACTTCAGCAGCCAAGACTGTTGCCCATTATCCTCTGTAGAAAGGCTATCCTTGCCTAACTCATCTAATGCAATTGAAAATTGACTTTCTCTTCATCAATATCCTCCATTGTGTTGCTGCTGAAGTCACGCACCAACTTAATGTTTACCAGGGATGCGGAGTCCCAAAAAGACTCCAGATTTATATCTCTATTTTTTCCAGGTCTGTAGTGTTTAAAAGCTCTAAACATATTTGTTGACTTATGATCTGCTATAAGAAAAAAAATTTATGTGGTGTAATGACTTGGAACTTATTGTTTTTAAGCGCAGACTCCCGGAGTCTTTGCCGCCATTATACTTAAGAACTCCAGGTTCAAAAAATGATTGTTCCTCTTACCTAAAAGTCTTTTTTTCCTATTAGTAGTCCATAAAACTTTTTATATTTTTAGAGCTCCTGGATACCAAAAACTAGAAGGAAGTAATTTTTTTGTGACTTTTAAATCCAGAGTCCTTTTTGGGACTTCGCATCCCTGATGTTTACCTAACATATGTTGCATTTTAAAAAATATTTTATGAATATACAAATCAAATAATAATTTTAATTTAAATGAAAAAAGATAAAATTACTTCAATTTCCAGTTAAAAAAAAAAAGATTTTTTTTTTAAAATTATAAACTCACAGCTGTAATGTCCACACTTATGCCTAAAACGTTAGCTTATTTCCAAACTTATCTAAACATTTTTCAATAATCTTTTTAGGTTGGTCTGCAGTTTGTTTTCCTTTTAGTATCAATGGTGCTAAGGTTGATAACAATAACTTCATCATCTATTGAATATTGGGCATTAATACCAAGGTAGTGACGCATATGTCTTGTTGTCGAATGGACTTTTAAATAGATCAATAGTTTTGATATTAAATTTTAAATTTCTTTGCAATGTTTTATGGCAAGATTGCAAATTTGAGTTCTCATATTATCTCTGTTAAGTGCAAATCCGAATTGTGAAACCACTTTTTCACAAAGTTTTTGTATGGGTTTGCAAGCAAATGCCTGAGAAAAAAAATTTCAGAATAAATAGATAAACAATTTTGATAAAATATTTTTTTTTATTTAAGATTAATTGCGACAAAATAATTTTGAAAACGTTTTACAAAATTAAACCAAATAGCAAAGTAGAAAGAAAAAGTTAAAAACGATAAGTCTCAGAAAATGAATAACATAAATGTAAGTCTTTTAATAAATCTTAACCTGGAATGAAAGTCCTTTAACTAAAACCAGTTCATTTAACAATTTTAAAAACTTGTCTTTCGTTCAAATTCAAATTAACTTTCTGAGAAGGAAAACACCTTAATATAGACTGCTGCAAATTACTTTGATTGCCTGTAAACTTCTTTTTTTTTTCTTGTCCTCTTCTTTCTTTTTCTATATTTTTGAAAAGATCAGCATGTTTTCTCGATAAGTGTCAAATAAGGTTGCTCAAGCGAGCTTTTTTGGCACACACAATTTCTTCACCACACAATTTGCTCCCTTTAATTTTTTCTGTTACCATACATTTGAAGCTGAAAACTTTAACTCCTCACACAATTTTTTTAGCATGTAAAAAATGTTTGTATACAATATCTGTTCCTTGATTTATAGCCATTACAAAATGAGAATAGCAAATCCAAATATAATGCAAGACTGTTGTTATTTGCAGCTGATTATAAACGTATAAAGTATTTGCTTCTTATAGCCTTCCCAAAAATATATAATTAGCTAAATAACCCACAAAAAAATAGTTACGAAACTTGTTATTATAATAATTTATAAATTCAACGCGTTATTACACCAAATTAACACATTACGATAAAAATGTTGTAATGTGTTTTTATTTAATATATATTATAACAAATCCAAAAATATTACAAACTTTTATTTTAACGATGTGCCCAGTGTGCACCAAAGGTTTTGTACACCGCATGTGCTGTAATTTGCCTAACTCTTATATTTTGTAAATAATGCATGCTATAGACGATATATGCCATAAACATGCTGCAAATTTCTGAATAATTTATTTGCAGCAGGGCTTGTCGTACGCAGCACAATTCAGTACATGTGAGCTTTCACTGTTTTAAAGTTACATGACTGTTGGCTAAACAATTTTAAATTATTAAACTTGTAGAAGGTAATAATGGTTAGTTAGGAAAGGTTTTTATATGCTAATACAAAATTTAAAAAATCCAAGAGTCCCAAAAGTTATAAGGACAGGCAGGACTCTAGGTAAAAACAGGGACTCCTGGACTTCACATCCCTGAGTGTGTGTAACACACAGTTTGGTTTTAGATGAGGATAGGAACAACAGACAATATTTATTGTATGGCAAGTTCAAGAAAGTTTTTTGAAAAAGAAAAAAATTCTGTGGATGCCATTTGTTGACTTTGAAAATACTTTTAACAGAGAACCAGAAGAAGTTATGGTTAGAGTTTAAAGTATTTAGGCATTAAAAAATAGCTGCTAATAGTTATGCATACATAACATGATTATGTATACATATGTCAAAAAAGCAATAATAATGAAAAAAATTAAAAAATGGAGTCAGTAATGACTTTAAAGTAATGGATAGTGAACATCAGAGTTCAGTCCTCAGTTCTTTTCCTCTTTTTTTTTATTATCATAGTAGTTCTCCTAAATGAAGTGTTGGTTTATCATGAAAGCTATGCAGACAATTTATGCTTGAAAGGCAGAAGAATTAATACTAAAAGTTAAGTGTTAAAAAGATGAAATCAAAGCTCAGTGGCTTAGGATGAAATAAAAGCCCTGAGCATTTTATCAAGATCAACATGAAGATGAAAGTCATGTAAAAATGGGCAAAGAGAAAATACTGAAAAATGGCCATGTAAAGTGCGTAGAAAAAGAGATTGAGGAAACTCTTACGTTTGTACATCTTGCAATCAAGGAGTTTAAAAGAATGTACTGATATACAAAATAATATTTACATTGTAAATATAACTTTGAATATTGATACTGTCAATTTAGGGTGAAGAAAAAATATTTTTGATGAATAGGGAGAAAAATGAGCAAGAGTAAGGGTCAAATATCAGAAATTCTTCTACTTCATTTAACTTCTAACAGATACAGCTTTTAATCGAATAATTGCGCAACACTAAAATCCATCATAAAATCCACTCTATTTCAAAAACTAGGTGATATTATTTATTAATATTATTTTAGATTGTAAATATAACTTTATCAAATTTCAAAAACTAGGTGATATATACAAAAATTTTCTAACAAAATATAATATGCAGTTTATCTTTTAGAATTGTCACTATTTTTAATGATAGAACTTTCTTTAGTTGAGCACACAAAAAAAACAAAACAGCGAGGTTTATTATTATTTATCATCAACTATTAACTCATATGTAAATTTTTAGTAATTTTGATTTGTAGTTCCCATTTCAAATCATTTAAAGTTAATACATCAAGGCCTTTTTCTAATTTAGTAGTATTCTTGCTTTACTTTATTAATGATCATGAAGTTTTTTTTTTTTTACCTAACTACATTTTTTAGTTTATTGTTCATTCTTCCAATATTTCAATATTATTTTGAAAAACATCAGTTCATTATCAATCAGTTTATTGCATTACTTTAATCATTAATTTCAGCTAGTACTTTACTATTAATTGCACATAACATCATTTGATTAATAAGATGACTTAAAATATTTTTAATGTAGGTTAAAAATAAAATTAGACTAAACACAGATTCCTGTGGAAGACTTTATTATATTTATCCGTGATATTACTCTTTAATGTACAACCTTTTGTTTTCTATCATTTAAAGCACATAGATGAAACGTTTATAAATATTTGTAATAATATTTTTATGTTTATAAAAATATTTTTTAAGTTTAAGTATTAATCTTCTATGCAACACTATATCAAAGGCTTTTATAAAACTAGTGTAAAAAATATTAAACTATTTATCATGTATCACCTGTCATTACTATATCCATATATTCTAGCAGATTAATTTTGTAACTATTAATCATGTAAAACCATGTAAAACTTTTAGCTATTGTAAAACCATGATAATAATGATAAATTGGTAACATTCAAATTATGCAAGAAAACAAAATATAAACATGGAACCCGCAACCTGAGAATCTTTATCTGATTTAAGCCCATATTTATCAATTTTTGATCTACCAACTGATGATTTAATATATTTTTAAAAATATTATTGTAGTTTAATTTAATTGTAATTTATTTTAAAATGTTAATGATTTATTGTACCTTTAATATGATGAAAAAGGCCTATAGAGCCTCTATTAAAACAACCCTTACACCATAACATAAGTTTCGATATATTCTGATATAAATTCTTTTCTATTCCTAATTACCAAAACAAAAAAGGCAAAAAATTAATTTATATATATATATATATATATATATATATATATATATATATATATATATATATATATATATATATATATATATATATATATATATATATATATATATATATATATATATATAGTAAAAAGATTGTTTAATTAAATTAAATTTAAATAAATGCTAAATTCTTAAAATTACCTCAAACATTTGCAAAGCAATACTTATATTTTTTATTAAAATCTAAGTATTGCTTTGCAAATTTAATTTAAATTTTTCAAGCAGGAAATATTTGTTACAGCTCAAGAAGACTCGTGAAATAATCAACTTAATTGGACAAAAAGAAAAAGGGTATAAATATCCCAAAACTATGTACGCTACTGTATATACATCTTGACCACATCTGTTATAAACATTTTAAACGTAAAATCAAAGTTTAAATAGTAAAACCGAGATAAAATTCAACCACTAAATAATTCTAAAAATTTAATGTTTTGAATTTAAAGTTTAAAAGATTATTTCCTTAAAAAAAAAATTTTTTAAAGAAAAAAAAAAAGAGAATCTAACAACAATAAATCAAAAAATTATATATAATAATAACAAAAATAAGACAGCAAGATAATTTGAAATATCATTTTTGAAGTAAATAGTGTTTTTACTTTTATTTCTTACTGTATTATCTCTTTGAAGAACTTCTTGAACTAACTCTTGTACTGCCTGCCAATTACCAGGAACAATAGTCTAAAATAAAAACAAATAAAATATTTTTAAAAACCAGGTTGTTGTTTTTGCGGGGAAAAAAAATTTGAACTTAATATTGTAATACCAGTGTAACTATTATTTTCTATAAAAAAAACAAAATGTTACTTAGTGCACATACAAAATTTCATTATAAAGTATGCGCCAAGTGAGCTTGTAATGCAGAACCTCCAAAAAATTTAAACAAAAACAAATGAAAATATTATTAGAAAAGCTATCCACAAAATGTGAGGACAATTTAGTGCAAACTTATTCACCCAAGACCTTATTTTCAAAACTGGTATTGAAATTTTCAGTCAATATAAGTTATAAGACCAATATTAAAGCTACTGTGTTTGATTATTTTAATTGAAAATACCTAGTTTTCTGAAAAAAAATGCTGAATGTTCATACTGATAGTTACAAACGCAAAATAATTATAAAATACTTTTAATAATAATTAAGTAAACTAAAACTAATGCGGAAAAAAAAGTTGTTTTAACAAAACTAAAAACAAAACAAAAATAAAGCATACAAGACTAAAAAAAAAAAAAAAAATCAACCAAAATTTATATATTAGTTATTATGGTTTCGAAAATCTTGAAGTTTAAGTTTTCTAAATAACAAAGTTTGCAGTGTTGCTCTAATGTCTTGTTCAAAAGTGTTGCTTTTATGTGTTGTGGAAAAGTGTTGCTTTTATGTGTTATTCAAGTATTGTTTTTATGTGCCACTCAAAAGTGTTGCTATAATGTGCTGCTTGTATGTGAGGTTAACATAAATAAACATGCAAAGATAAGCAAGGAAGTTTGCTTATCATTTAACATAATTTGATTCTATGAATAAAAAAATTGGTTTTATATTTTTACTAATTATGTAATACAAAATTTTAATTTTTAAAAAAATTTTTTTTCAATATCAATTATGCTTGACTTAATATAACTGTTTAGTCAACTAACACTTGATAAAAAAAAAAAACATTAGAAAATATAAAAAAATATTAGAAGATATAAGAAAACATTAGAATATATAAGAAAATATTAGAAATATAATAATATAAGAAAACATTAGAATATATAAGAAAACATTAGAACATATAAAAAAACATTAGAACATATAAGAAAATATTAGAATATATAAGAAAACATTAGAACATATAAGAAAACATTAGAATATATAAGAAAACATTAGAATATATAAGAAAACATTAGAACATATAAGAAAACATTAGAATATATAAAAAAAACATTAGAATATATAAGAAAACATTAGAACATATAAGAAAACATTAGAATATATAAGAAAACATTAGAACATGTAAGAAAACATTAGAACATATAAAAAAACATTAGAACATATAAGAAAACATTAGAATATATAAGAAAATCAAAAAAACTAAAAACCTTTTTACAGGCATCACTAGATAATTGAAAGCCAGATTCACTAGTACGATATATTGGAGCAACTTTAGAAATAAGCCAAAGTTTGAATTCACTACTTGTGTTCCAAATAAAATTGTGTTTTCCTTTTTAAATTAAAAAAAAAGTTTGAAAAATAAAAATAATTAAATTTATGATCAAATATTTCATTATTAAAAAAACAATAATAACAATATATATACTAACGTGTTCTGTTTTCATTTTTCTCACTTTCTGAACCTAACTTGTTTAAAGTATAAGATAATATTGACCAAAATGACTGAAACAAAAACAATAAATTTAAACTTTATTATTACTAATATTTAAAAGTTAATGTTTTATTTTTATATATTATATGTAGTATTCAAAAAAAATATTTGTTTGTAATTATAGTCAGTTAAAAAACAAAAATTATTAATTTTTCGCTGAAAACAAATATTTATTTATTATTGAAGTTTATTTAAAAACAAAAATACCTGAGTTTTTAGTTTTTTGGAAATTGTATCTAAAATATGTATTAACAAAAGCCACAGTTCATTGGTACATGAACAATAAAACAAACCCTTGTTCCATACACTTGTCACAGGATCCTGTAAAATGAGTTATTTCAACTTAATAAACCATACATCTTGCAAAAATTAATAATAAAAAAATACATGAACAACATAAGTAACATAAATTGTCAAAAAGCAACATAAGTACCATAATTTATCAAATGTCAAAATAAGCAACATAAATTATTATAAGTCAACATAAGCAACCTTTTGATAAACATAGTTAGCAAGATAAACCAAGTCGCAAACAAGGTACTGTGAAACACAATCAAATAATGCCATTAAATCTTGAGATCCACAATCTAAAAATATTTCAAAATATTGTAATGACAGAAATCTAGTATTGATGTATAATATTACTATATCAAATCTATTATTACAATAAAAAGTAACATGAGTCCTTTTGTTAAAAACTTTAGTCTAAAAAAATTTGAGAGCATCCATCATGTAGATTACTAATCTTGATCATTTTTAAAAAAACTTATTAAAAGACGAGGTGCAAAAGACAGACAAATGTTAACAAAGCAAACACAATTATTTTTAAAAAACTACTTTTGTTTTAAAAAACAAACTGTTGAAAAAAAAGTCACTACATTTTGAGTTTAATGGAAATCTGGCAACTATTTTTAACAGGGATTTTTTGATATAGTATTTGTTATTACCCAAAGAATCTAAAAGCACACAGGTAAAAAACTGGGTACAACTTTAATATATAATTTGAGTCAAAGTCAATCTTTGTGGAAGGTAAAAAATTAAGAAAAACTCTTTACGTATGCACTTTTTTATAAGAAATGTGTATGTCATTAAAAAGAAAAAGGGAAATTTAAAGTGTATATATCTACTTCTAATATAATATTAAATGATCACAAAGTACAGAGGTTGTTCCAGTAAGTACATTATTTTTTTTCAAAATTAATAACTCTAAGTGATACACCAAAATGTCTTCAAATCCCTACTAATACCTTTCAAAAGTGTTACTGTATATGTCTGCTTTAAATTGAATAAATATTAGGACACGCAAATTTGTGCTTTTCACAGCAAAACAATTTAAAGACCATCAAACATTTCCAATACTTTAAAAAATTGTTTAAATAGTAATTATCTTGAGACATTTAAAGCAACATTTCATCTTTAATCAGAAACAAGATTCCATCCTCCATTAGAAGTATTAAACAAATTTCCATTAACATCTAAAACGAGAAATTGAAATTAAAAACCTCATTAAGCCAATCTATGCCTTACCTGAAGGACACAAGTAGTTGAAAAGACTTCAAATCACTCCAGCTTCCATTGCTTAAGTGCTCAATTAAGCTCTTTAAATTGCCTAATCTCAATTAAACTCTTCTACAGTTTAGGGTCCAGACAACATTCTTGCAAAAGTCTTACAAAAGTGTTCTCCAGAAATTTCTTCAATTTCCTCTAAACTTTTAATTAGGGCTTGACTGAATCTTGTTTTTGTGCCTGCTGGAAAATGGCATTTGTGGTTTGTGATCTAACTATCATCCAATCAGTCTTCTCTCTATTATTAGCAAGGTCTTTGAGTCAAAAAATTTCTAATATCCATCCTTGAGTCAAATAACTTTGATAACATCTGTGACTGAAAGATTCTACTTTGCATTAGGTGGCAAGACAATTGCTCTTGACATATCTAAAGCTTCAAATGGTTTAAACTGAAATTTTTTTTGAGTTAATTAAATCTTTTCTTTTTAACAGCTTTATTAAAGTCATCTTCAAAGGCCTTCACTCTTCTTCATTTTTAGTAACTTCTGGGTTATTGCCACAAATTATGTGTGTGTGTATATATATATATATATATATATATATATATATATATATATATATATATATATATATATATATATATATATATATATATATATATATATATATATATATATATACTATATATACTTTTTGATCACTTAAAACAAGCAGCTGATCTTGAATCTGATCTCACTTCTGTAACAGCTTGGGGCTTGCAGTGAACTTTAAGTGAATTTTACTATGATAGACTACTGTCTATCATAGTAAAATTTGTTGTTCAATAACTGAGCCATCTCAAATATACTAGATTGTTACTGCAAAATTGTTCGTAGAAAAATATGGCTGGTATTATATGCCTGCATAAGTTCATAAAATATTATTTCCTAATCCTAAAGTCATTGTAAATATGAATACTTCAATTGGTAAACAATCAGAGGAGGCTCATAATAAGCACTGAATAAGTATTCAGAGTTTCATATGAGAGGCCCAAATTGGGAGGTCTGAAGTTCAATGCTAGATGGAGGTGTGAACTTTTTAGTTCCTAGTTAAATGTACTTCTGTGGTGCTCTCTTACTAGACCCAGTCCTTGGAATTAAGAAAAATGAGGTCAGCAATTTATATAATTAACCTTGAAGGGATCCCAAACCTCCAAGACATGTTGTGTTCATATTAAAGAGAATTATTAAAAAAAAAATGTTTGGGCTAAACTTTTTTGATTGTAACTAACTTATTTATTTTGGTCAAAGCTCGCCTGCTTCGTTTTGTTGTAGACCAAATAGTCTTCATAATATACACCACAATCTACAAACGTGATAATTTATTCAACCGCATTTTATTTCTAAGACTTTTAGTACATGACATCATTGACTTTTTTGTTTGTTTAAAAGATCCATTATGAAAACAAAACAAAAAAAATCCATGATGTCATGTACATAAATTCATAGGAATAAAATGCGTTCGTATAAATTATCAAGTCTGTAGATTTTAACACAAAGGAATTATCATAAAACATTGAAACAAAGTCAGCAATTTTCTGCAGATCTCAAACACTTTTAAGTCAGTGGTTAGGTTGGCATTGCTGAATGCTGACTTTAATTCAAAGGGCACAAGACCATAATGACTTCTTAAAGCACCTTAATGATCAGATAGAAAAAATATATATATAAGGGGGGGCTATTCTAGAAAAATAATTTGGCTTGTGGTACTCGCCAGTGCCTGCTGTAAGGAAATTTGGTGGAAACATTGCTGTATAGGCATTTTTTTGCAAAAAAAACAAATTATTTGTCTTTAAAAAAAAATCCTCAATTTCTTGGGTGGTGCCCAAATGCAGTCAGCGCTGTCAAAAACAGTCTAGAATAGCCGCTGATGGGTAGAATTCAATTAACACTATTTTTTATTTTGTAATTTTATATTTTTTATTTTGTAATTTTATATTTTTTATTTTTTAATTTTATATTTTTTATTTTTAATTACTTCTGTAACAACTTGGGGCTTGCAGTGAACTTCTAATCTAACAATACTCAGTTATTTACTGCAAACAACTATCGCAATACTGCTAATTTTACTATGATAGACTGTCTATCATAGTAAAACTTGTTGTTCAATAACTGAGCCATCTCAAATATACTGGATTGTTACTGCAAAATTGTTAGTAGAAAAATATGGTTGGTATTATATGCCCGCATAAGTTCATAAAATATTATTTCCTAATCCTAAAGTCCTAAAGCTGCAACAAACTTTTTTTTTTAATACTTTTTATTTTATTTCTTCAATATTTTGTATCATCATCTATTGTGATCAGCATCATCAGGTATAATAAATAAAAATCATTACATAAAAAATAAAATTGCTATAATAAAAACAAGCCATTAAAAAGATAACATCATAAAATATAATACAAAAACTTTTTAAACCCTGATATAAACTAATTTTAAGAAAAACCGGCCCCCAGGTTTTACTAAAAAAATTTTTTTTTTTTAAACACATTTACAGAGGCGGAAAAAGTCACATGTCCAGTAAATTTTTATAGAATTTCTTGCTAGATAAAACAAGTAGCTAGATAGTGGATCAAAGTAACTTCACAATGGTCTTCGCTATGCATCATATATAGAAATATTTTAATTAAATATTTTAATTAAAAAATCATTCTAAGTACGTATAAATAACAAATTCTGTTAAGTCTATATTTGTGTTCGAACACATGACTTTTTTCCAACACTGCAATTAAAACACAAATTTAAAAAACAATACTTTAACTAATAGTTTTTAATACCACATATCAGTGCAAGCATTACATAAAAAGCAATACAATGCAAACATTACACAAATACATAAGTATGCAATAATGTATAGTCAAAAAATAACTAGTCTATTATTATACTAGTATAACTTTTTTATTCTGCCTAATTAAATTTAAAAAAACTGGTAGCCAAGGATGCCAAGCTTGGAAAATATGAGGTTGTCTCCTTACCAACTTTTATAAAAATAACAATAATATTAAAGCGTCATCTTCACCAAAATTTCTCCACCTTTAAACATATCTTTAATCTGATAATTTTGTAACGCAACTTTATTTTGTTACACAAGACCAAAAATTAAAAGTTTTAATTTAAGAATTATTTTAATCTTATTTTACTTTTAATTATTAATTAAATAATTTTTATCATTTAACAAAGACAAGAGCATGGGCACTAGTTGATCATTAATCAATAAGTACTAAACAATTTTTCAAAAACAAATGTTAAACATACCTTTTGTAAACAATGATGTTACTAATAGAAGAGAGTATGCACCCATCTCTAGACATAAATGAAAATAACTTTGCTGAAGCGCATTTGTACACATAAGTATATCTGGGCTCAACTGATTAAGTCTTCTTCGTACATTCCCAAGTCTAATCACTTCTTCTGTAGCATTAATATTCAGCATAGATCTTTTATTAAAAAAATTGATTTTTAAAACATTAAAATTAAGTTTTTTATTAAATTAAATACTTTATAAATGATAAAAAGATTAAAAATGAAATTATTTTTTATATAGAAAACATGTGAAAAATATCTATTTTAAAACTGTACAATCATTTAAAAAATTAGACAGTTTATTAGATTATTAAAACAATAAACAAATTAAAATACTATTAATAATAATAACCAAAAAGCATCAACAAAATAATATTAACAAATTACAATACAATTAACCAAAAAGTATCAACAAAAAGCATAAAAACTTTTAATTAAAAAAATACATACAGCTGTGTTAAATGCAAAATATAATTCAAGAATTTATTGACCTCTTCTCGACATGCTTTTGCATTTCCTAGTGTAAACAAAAAATTGATAACTATTTGAAGAAAATTAATATTTTCATAGATATTAATAGATAAACTAGAAAACATTAAAAGGTTGAAATTTCTAAAATTTCTTTTAATCACAAAGCAAAAAAAAAAAAATTTATGTATAAATTATATATACACATAGATCATCCAGACCACATTTTAAAAATCCATATCAACCACTTTTCCAAAAGTTAAAACCTTCAAAATTTTTGAGGCCTTTTCCTCATGAACAGTATCATTTTTTTTTTAATTCTCTCTGGAACAACGACATTGCTAAACAAAAAAAAAAAAGGTCCTCGAATATTACATGGGGCCCCTGAAGTCCTTGGGGTCTGGGGCAGAACTCAGCACTATCTATCTGCATATGTATCAATCAATCAATATAAATAAGTAATAGAAAATCTATCTATCCATCTAACTATAGATGTATATATTTATTTATATATACATATTTTTTTTAGTAAGTCAGTAAATATGTAGGTATTAAATTGTACATCATACATGCTACATCTATAAGAAATATTTTAAATAAAAATTGCTACATGTAGATTTGATGTAGAAGATTGTTATCAAAAATGTTCACTGATATGTATTTTTTGAATGACTTAAATATTTTAAATGAGCAATACTTATATGTGTCTTTTTAATAAGTATCTTGTTAATGGGTCTTATTAATAAGGCATTTAAGTTAGCAATTTATGATTAACAATATTTTAAACGATCTATTTAATTTAATGATTTATGATTAGTATTACATTATACAATCTATTTACTTTTTCTCATGTGAAATGTAAAGGCATCTTAAGGAACATAATCGTAAAACGAAAAACTACTAATTTAAGTAATTTTATACTATTTTATATACTATTTTTTATAATACATCATAACTCGTCAAGGTACATTTTTATTCAATTAACTGTATTTGATGCATTAAACTATTCATCGCTTTCGATGTATCGAACACGATGAGTTGTTCAATGCTTCGAACACAATAATTCAACTCATCGTTTAACGATACATCGTCGCTCCCTATTCATTAGTAAATATTATTTTAAAACAAAATTTATTTTATCAAAAAAAAAATAACGTAAGCAATATAAATACCTACAACAGATTCAGATTTGTCAGTTGCCATTTCTAACTTATTTAAATGAAACCTAAAGATAAAGATAATTTATTTTATATATTTTTATGAAAAACTATATATATATATATATATATATATATATATATATATATATATATATATATATATATATATATATATATATATATATATATATATATATATATATATATATATATATATATATCAGGCTTTCCCAGGAAAGGCGTGCGGTCGCCTTGTTTGACCACGCATAGAATAAATTTTTCAGAAAACGTGACCTCGGCAATATTTCGTGGGAAAGCGAAACTTATCCACAGAGAATAAAAAATAATATTAAAAAAACAAACGAAGTCTAAACAAAGTATAAAATAGAAATTGGATGTACGAAAAATATTTTAATAATAAAAAAAAAATTCAAAAAAAAAAAATTCTTGTAACAAAAAAAAAAAAAGTCTTGAACATTTTTTTCAAAATTTTTATACTGTTTTTTTTTTTTTTGAACTGATTCATTATTTACGCTAGACAAATTTAGTTAAATTTTTTCATTTAATTTAGTTTTTACGAAGATTTATGCAAAGGCGATGACGTTATTCCCCAATACTTAGACAAGAAAATAAATTGCTGTTTTAATTATTAAATATATTATTTGAGATTTTGAACATAACAAAATTTTAATGTGAAAAAAGTTCTCTCGACTTATTCTAAACTGATTATAATGAGTCAATGCTCGCCTTTTATTACGTTGAAATTATTCAATTGCATAATTTTGTAATTACGAAAGAAGTTTAAAAAATAACTGCGTTGCTTCTGTTGTCATTGTTACGAAAACGGATTGCAAAATAAAATAAACTCAATCGTTTGACAATAAAATTTTCTTTCATTTGAAAATAAAAAAAAACATTTTACAAATAAATAGCAATTGTTTTTACGAAACATTTAAAAATTGTTTATAGTTCTATTGTGAATTTTAAAGTATTACTGACTGATAAAAGTCATTAACAAATTTTACATTAAAAGGTCCTTTTATTTTCATTAAACTATAACCTTTTTTTTTTGATTTTATTTTTCTTATTGATTTAATTTTTCATAGCTAAAATAACTACCACCCAAAAAAATATATATATATAAATAAATAAAATATAGGTAAAATTTTTTTTTAATAATATACATTATTTTTTTAATTTTAAAGCACAAACAGATTTCTGTTATTTACTTTAAGATTGCTTGCATTTTTGCGGTATTTTCGTTTAGCTTTGTTTTGGCGCGAATTTTTGAAACGCATAATAACAAAACGTGGTCAGTTAGTCAGAAATATTTATTTTATGCGTGGACAAACAAGGTGTGCGACCGCACGCCTTTCCTGGGAAAGCCTGATATATATATACTCTTGCATGGTAGTCAGAAAGAGCTTCCCATAAACTGTAGTTTTAAAGAGCGCGTTAATAAACCAGACCAGAAAAAGTTTAAAAACTTAAATTTTTTTTTTTTAAATGATAGACTGCCTGCCCAAACCAAACCCTCAGTCGATGTAGCAGCACCTTTTTGCGAGTCAGGCTATTTGTCAGTCGTTGTAGCAGCACTCCCTTGCGAGTCAGGCTATTTGTCAGTCGATAAAGCAGCACTCCCTTGCGAGTCAGGCTATAAGATAGTCAATGTAGAAACACTCCCTTGTAGCAGAAGGCTATAAGATAGTCGATGTAGCAACATTTACGCATGTTTTAAAAATGTTTTTTAATAAAACAAAAACAAAAACACCACTAATTAAAAAAAACTTTCTAGTCATTATTATTGTGGTTTTTTAAAAAATTTTTAAAAAACAATAAAATTTAATGTACTTCCGCATTAATTTAATTGCTTTGACATTTCAACGACAATCAAATACAGCTTAAGAGACGAGGCAATTAAAATTGTAGTCGAAAGAGACTTTTTTTTACATTAAAAGACTCTTTTGACTACACTATAAGGATATATATATATATATATATATATATATATATATATATATATATATATATATATATATATATATATATATATATATACAATTATTTTATAAACATCAATAAATACGATTTTCTCTCGATACTAAATTTATTATTTATTTTTTACTTTTTAAAAGAAATTTTCGCTGGATTGTTGTGACAATACAGAAAATCGAGAAAATCGAATTTATTGATGTTTATAAAATAATAATTTACATACTCTCATACATGATGTCTACATTCAAAAAAATATATATATATATATATATATATATATATATATAAATATATATATATATATATATATATATATATATATATATATATATATATATATATATATATATATATATATATATATATATATATATATATACAGGGGTCAAAATAAGTGCCGGACATCGCCGCCCCTCAGACCATTTTTGAGACCTGCTAGATGAGGGCAACAAACCATTGTTTATTTTTGCAGTAAAAATGAACAATGGTCGGTTGCCCTCATATAGCAGGTCTCAAAAATGGTCTGAGGGGCGGCAATGTCCGGCACTTATTTCGACCCCTGTATATATATATACATATATATATATATATATATATATATATATATATATATATATATATATATATATATATATATATATATATATATATAATATATATATATATATATATATATATGTATATGTATATATTAGGGTGTCCCAACCGCCCCTTATATTCTAAAAAAGACCTGTTCATATTCTTAAAACTTTCTATTGGTTCTCACAGCCAACTCTGTTAAATTTTTTCAAAATTTTATTGGATTTAGGGGGAGCACAAGACCCTTGAACACTTACCGGGTCCCTAATAATATTAAAAAAATTTTCTCAAAAGTATGTCATGTTGGGTCTCAAAAGAAGCGAAATTATATAAAAATTTTAAAAATAACAATCATTTTATAAAAAAATTATTATTTTAGAGTTTTTTTGTAGAAAAATGACCTTTTTTAACCTAAAAATAGAAAAATATTTTCGATAATTATTCCAAAAAAAAATTGAAAAATAATTTTTTTTTTTAATTATTTATTTATAATAATAATAACTGTAATAATAAAAATAATAATAATAACAGTAATAACCAATTGTGTATCTGGTGTATCTGGAAACATCTTTAAGATATTTGTTATCCTTGATGGACTCAGGGGTTCCTTAAGGTTCAATCCATGGCCCATTACTCTTTTTAATTTACATTTTCCAGATATTCTCACATCAAAGGTGGCATTGTTCGCTGATGATACTACCATTAATTTTTGTCATGATAATAAGCCAACACTCTCTGATTGCTTGGAAGGGGCATTTGAGCTCACAGTGGCTGGTGAAATTTAATTCAGATAAAACTCAATTTTTTTCAGCCAATCATTATTGCAATAAATAAGACCTTCCTATATTTATGAACGGTAATGTACTCAATGAGTCATCTAGCCTTTATCTTCTAAAATTAACTCTTACTTTCGATCTTTCTTGGAAACTATATATCAAATCCGTTGCAAAATTAGCATCTCCTAAAGTTGCATCTTTTTATCGAGCTTGACACTTTCTTACTCCGGATTCTATTCTCTATTTCTATAAATCTTAAATCCGGGCTTGTATGGAATACTGTTGCCAAATCTGGGGCAGATCTTCTAATGATGCCCTTTTTCTTTTAGACAAGGTGCAAAAATGCATTGTAAATATAGTTGGACCTGCTCTTGCAGCCAACCTTTAACCATTATCACATCGTCATGTTACTTCTCTTTTCTACAAATACTATAACAGGCACTGGTCTAAAGAGCTAGCATCTCTCCTGCTATCTATTAAAATTCATTCTCATGTTACTCATAATTCAATTAAGTCTCATCCTTTTTCTGTGACTTTTCCTAAGTGCTCCAAAAATTCTTATTTGTCAAGTTTTTTCCCTCAAATATCAGTTCTTCAGAATTCACTTCCTTCTCCTGATTCATATAATTTGAAATCTTTTAAGTTGTCTGTCAATTATTATCTTGATGTATAAACTTCATCTTTTCTCTTCCAGTAACTTCCAACTCTAATGGTGGTTGCTTGCAGCTTTGTTGGAAGCGAAGATGTTAAAAATAAATAATAGTAATAATAACAATAATAATAATATCAAAAAAATAATAAAAAAAGCAAACAATAATAACAATAGAAACAATAATAACAATAATACAAATTAATAACAATAATGATAAATAACAACAACAAAAAAATGTTAAATTAATCAAAAAAACTTTATTATATTAGATAAAAGTATTCAGGTATACCTAAGAGCATTAAACCAATCTGATTGCTTCTTACTAATTACAATTTGCCTAAATGATATACTTTGGTCAAAAAAATGTAAACTTTGAAATCGCATTTGCTTCTCATCATAATTTGTAATGCCATGTAACACACTAAACATATAAATTACCATTTTATTAAATATTTAAAAGAAAAATTTAAAACATTAACATCTTAATCTATTTTGAAATTTATTAACTAACTTAATTAAGCATCCACTTTTAACAAAAGGAGAACCACCATTTGGATCTTTTCCACATGAAAAGCATCTATACT